TTTTATGCACATTGTGTCCAGAAAATGAAACACTTGTACAAAGACAAGAAACATTAAAAAGCTTAATCGCAGTGATTTGTCAGTTGTCTTAAAGACGGGCTGCTGCCTACACACACACACACACGCACACACACGCACACACAAACACGTATATATATATATATATATATATATATATATATTTAATTTCGATAAACGTGCAATCAATTTACAAATTCATGAATTATTCACACAAAAACAAATGCAAAGGTTAATGATTTAATTGGCGAGAAATCCATCGTCGCAAACAATTCAAATAATATACAAAACCCCCCGAGCCTGTTATGAATGAAAAGATCCTTGTTTCTATAAATTTCTGCTGCATTAGTTCTTATTTTTACTACAAGCTTTCGTCTGTTCCTACAGGCATCTTCAGGTATGGAATAGATGTTGTTCTTGTTTTTTCTCTCAGTAATAAGAGGACAACGAAAATATATGTATTGCTGTATCCGAAAAATGCTACTTTTTTGTATATTATTTGAATTGTTTGCGACGATGGATTTCTCGCCAATTAAATAATTAACCTTTGCATTTGTTTTTGTGTGAATAATTCATGAATTTGTAAATTGATTGCACGTTTATCGAAATTAAAATAACTGATCCAAGTGCGACTTTTGGATAATAAGTGTGACATTACTGTAATTATTGAACAATATAGTTCATGCCACTTTGACAGAAAATTTAGCAGTAAAAAAATTCGCTTATCACCATATTTGAACAAGAACGCACAACTGTAAAATTTAAAATCAAACTCAGCGTTGCTACTGCACGCTCCAAAAACAATAACTCATTTCCAATAGCATTTTTCGGATACAACAATACATATATTTTCGTTGTCCTCTTATTACTGAGAGAAAAAACATGAACAACATCTATTACATACCTGAAGATGTCTGTAGGAACAGACGAAAGCTTGTAGTAAAAATAAGAACTAATGCAGCAGAAATTTATAGAAACAAGGATCTTTTCATTTATAACAGGTTCGGGGTTTTTTGTATATTATTTGAATTGTTTGCGACGATGGATTTCTCACCAATTAAATCATTAACCTTTGTATTTGTTTTTGTGTGAATAATTCATGAATATATATATATATATATATATATATATATATATATATATATATATATATATATATGAACGAAATGGACAGAAAAAATAGCTAGTGAAAAGAATGAGAGACGAGGGAATGAAGGCCATATGAAATCATAAATGGAGCGGGGGAAAGGAAAGAAGGAAGGAAGGAAAGACGGAAGGAAGGAAGGACGGAAGGAAGGAAGGAATATGAAAAAAAGCCTAACGAATGAAAAATAAGCGGAATTGAGATACTGAAGTCAAGATACTCGCTTTGGACAATAGAATTGGTCAGCAAGAAGTAACAGCGATCGGATCGTTATTCCCTGGAGTCGGCGACAGATGGACATTGGTCAAGACAGATATTTGACTAAAAATGTCCAGAGAAAGAAAAGAAAAAGCGACGAAATGGAAATGGGAGTTCGTGATCGATTTGAAGCGGCAGACAGGCAAAGTTTAGCAACATCATTTTCTGACTATACATTCTGAGATGTTTCAAGATGGAGAAAGCAAAATAAAGGAGGGGCCAGTAGAATACAATAGATGTTCTATTGGATCGAGACATCCATAACATGAAAAAAAGGAGAGACTTAGAAGAAATAAAAAAGTAAGACGATACACAACTATCTTAGGCCGTGAGCATGAATATTAATAAGTATAAAGTAAGTAACAGACTGACATCGGAAGCAAATGACGGTAAATAAATGACACGATTAGAACGTAAGTAGGTACAGAAAGAGTAAGAAAGAGAGAGAGAGAGAGAGAGAGAGAGAGAGAGGGGGGGTGGATATGAATAGTAATAGATATGAAGAAAGATGGAAGAAGTAAGTTAGTAGGTAAGTATATATATTGTCCGTGAGATACGAATTAACTTAGATATGTAAAGACTTGGATAGATAGATAGATAGATAGATAGATAGATAGATAGATAGATAGATAGATAGATAATGAATAAACTAGAATAAATAGATAGATAGATAGATAGATAGATAGATAGATAGATAGATAATGAACAAACTAGAATAAATAGATAGATAGATAGATAGATAGATAGATATGGACGACACAGAGAAAGAAAAATGAATAGACAAATAAATATAAACAGAGATCAACAGAGATCGTAAGGGAACTGGTGTTCCAACGTGATTTGGCGTAAGCCCACAAAAACAGAATTTCCATTTACTACATCAATGTGTGACTCTAATAATAATAATAATAATCCTTAAATATAACACGCCATATATATATATAAATATATTTATTAAAGACATATTTTTATGTTTAACGTTGTTATTTTATAGATCAATATTTAACAAATGCTCTGTTTATGATAAACAGTATTAAATATTTACTGGCCTGAATGTCTGAGAAATTTTCACAGAAAATTTTCGTCTTTGGACAGGATTCGAACCCATCCTATACGGAACCGTCATATAAATATATTTACCGCTTAAAGAACCAATCGGTAGACAAGGTCGAATTTACTGCTTATAAACTCCAACTTTCCATGAATCGTACATTCATAACTGATGGCGTATTTAAAACAAAACATATATTAAGAAATGGACAAGGTCCGACAATTTATTTATTAAAGACATATTTTTTATGTTTAACGTTGTTATTTTATAGATACAAGTATTTAGCAAATGCTCTGTTTATGATAAACAGTATTAAATAATATTTACCGGCCTGAATGTCCGAGAAATTTTCATAGAAAATTTTCGTTCTTTGATAGGATTCGAACCTGCATCCTATACGGAACCGTCATATACTCTGACGTGCATTTTCCGCTTGAGCTACAAAGAACCAATCGGTAGACAAGGTCGAATTTACTGCTTATAAACTCCAACTTTCCATGAATCTCGTACATTCATAACTGCTCTGGCGTATCGAATGTAAACAAATGACGTCATATATTAAGAACGAAAAATATATCAAAGAACGAAAATTTTCTATGAAAATTTCTCGGACATTCAGGCCGGTAAATGTTATTTAATACTGTTTATCATAAACAGAGCATTTGCTTAAATACTTGTATCTATAAAATAACAACGTTAAACATATAAAATATGTCTTTAATAAATAAATTGTCGGACCTGTCCATTTCTTAAATGAAAATTTCTCGGACATTCAGGCCGGTAAATGTTATTTAATACTGTTTATCATAAACAGAGCATTTGCTTAAATACTTGTATCTATAAAATAACAACGTTATAAAATATGTCTTTAATAAATAAATCGGATCCATTTCTTATATATATATATATATATATATATGGTGGATTCTGTCGTTGTATTCGACACATGATGGTCAAGCATCTCAGTTCCGAGGAACCGACAACCAGACACCAGCACATATGATTTAATTATAGTGCATAACCAACTACACTTTTTGAAGGGCCGAATACGAAACGACCCGCCGCAGGTTTTGAATTCAGAGTTGTCCTTCTCCTAGACTAGTTGCCATCCAAGGCTATAGAACCCAGTCTGTCCTGCTATTTACCCATAGCTGGAGGGAGAAGAAGAATTAATACCTTTCCCAAGAGTATTATAACGTAAGTGAAAGTAATGGATTCGACTGGAATTCGAACTCGGTTTTCCGATTCCTCAGTATGAGCCGCTATCCACAACACAACACACACACACACACACATATATATATATATATTTATATATATATAATAACTGTGAATATCAACTAAATAACGAGATATTAGCAACTGTCTCTGCGTGCGATAGCGTTCATACGCAGATAAGCAAATAAATATTAATTTATGGCGCAAACAAAAGAGTGCTCAATGTAGTTAAACAGAGCTATAAAGTATATATTAATTAATGCACATATGACTACGCTTGTAGTGCAAATTAAAGTTTCATGGTTCCCCAAATCATCAGGCGCAAATGGTAAACAAACCACTTAATACAATTGTTTTTTAAATACTAGGGCTCATGGGAGGAACACTAAATTATACGCAGATTCAAAGTAATTTTTGAGTGTAACAATTGAGGTGCAGTGTGCAAAATTTTGACATGAGACCCAGAGAAGTTATGACACCATTCACGTACACACGCAAAAAGCTAACGCGCTGACAAACTACAAAGAAACCCCCTTCTTTCCATCTCTCTGTGAATTACGATCAAAGCGAAAGGAGTGAGGGAAAATAACCACGAAAGGAAACAGATACAGAACTGCAAAGAAAAAATGAAAGAAAGAGCGAGAGAGGGAAATAGAAAGGATTATAAAGAGGAGATAAATATATGTCAGACAAAACTTGGCCGAGGTTTATATTTCATTTCACCTAAAATTAACCTTCACATAAAGTTACTTTTCTTCTGTGAATCAAATGCTATGCGTGTGTGCGTTGTGTTAGGTTGCACAGTGTTTGCAGCCACCGAATATAAAAATCTGCATGATAGAGTTGGCCAATATCTGCGCTGGAAAATATGAAACTTTTACTGGAAGGAAACTGCAAGAAACTGGTATGACCATCACCTAGTTCCGTTTACCAGGATCTGTAACGGTTTTGTGGGACTTTGCAATGCACACAGACAGAACACTCAAAGCTAATCCTCCAGTCAGACCACAAGAACAAAGCGTGCTTTATTACTGACATGGCAGTCTCTGCAGATTGTAATGTATCTCTGAAGATCTTAAACTATCTGAATTCAAGCTACTTGAATTCTGATAGTGGAAATCTTCAAAATGTGGCACATGAGGAGATCAATAATTCCAATTGCGGTTGATTGGGAAAGGTTCCGATAGACTCATTGAATGGAACACTGGTAAAAAGAAATACAAAAATTATACTCACAAGAAGAGTTCACACCTTACGTAGAGCTTTATCTATGTAAAATATGTGTGCTTTTAGATTATATATATATATATATATATATATATATATATATATATATACACATGAATTATTCACACAAAACTAATGCAAAGGTTAATGATTTAAATGGCGAGACATCCATCATCGCAAACAATTCAAATAGTATACAAAACCTCCAGATCCGTTATGAATGAATTGATCCTTGTTTATATAAATTTCTGCCGTATTAGTTGTTATTTTTTACTACAAGCTTTCTTCTGTTCCTACAGACATCTTCAGGTATAGAATAGATGTTGTTCTTGTTTTTTTTTCTTAGTAATAAGAGGACAACGAAAAATATATGTGTTGTTGTATCCGAAAATGCTATTGAAAATGAGTTATTGGTTTTGGAACGCGCCAAAGCAACGCTGGGTTTGATTTAAATTTTTAAAGTGTTTGCGTTTATACCAAATATGGTGATGAACAAATTTTTTACTGGTAAATTTTTCTGTCAAAGTGGCATGTTCAATAATTACAGTAATGTCGCACTTATTATCCAAAAGTCGCATATATATATATATATATATATATTTTACAAAAATTGTCAATGAAAATGTCATAATACCATTTCTGAACTTAGGTCTCTGATTGGGACCCAGAAGGAAATGTACACACAACAAAAATCAAAGGAAATATTATTATTATTATTATTATTATTAATAATAATAATAATAATAATAATAATAAGAAGAAGAAGAAGAAGAAGAATGATTGATCTGATTTTACGGTCACTCAACTTCTTGCAGGCTATTTAAAGCCAGAATGTTTTTTTTTTTTTTTGGAGATAATAATGATTTAATGACACAACTCCTATTGATTAACCGAAGGCCGAGGATAGAAGATGTGGATTCAGACCTTTCCCAAGGGCATTTGCGCCTTGGTGAATATAACGAAGTCACCCCTCTGTTTTCCAATTCCGACCCTTTATCCTCTCCAACACTCGGACACCCAAGCCTAATGGTATTTCCACGAGGTCACTTATCTAAATACTGACCAGATCAACAACAACAACAATAATAATAATAATAATAATAATAAGAAGAAGAAGAAGAATATATTCACTGACTTGAGGAAAAATTGCCAGACCTGTTTTAGTTATTAGGATAGGACAAAAACCTGCTGCTTTTTTCTCTCCAATCGTACTAGAGAGAGAGAGGGGGGAGGAGAGAGAGAGGATAGCTAGAACGTTACACAGAGAGAGAGAGAGAGAGAGAGAGAGAGAGAGAAGAAATAGAGAAATAAAGAGAGAGAGAGAAGTGGGGGAAGAGAGAAACACAGAGATTGACAGAGAGAAAACAGGTAAAACAAATATTTCTCCTCTCAATTAATAGTGTAAAAGAAACAGATGTTGGTTGATGTGTTTCTACTCATATCTGCCAAAGTAGTCAACATTTCCCAGCTATTGTCTCCTAACCGGGGAAACTTAACTAACTCTTGTACAAGTTTCATATCCAGAAACATAACAGCGATACATCTCTGTTTCAAAGGACCTGTGCTCTTATTAAATGATACAAAAATCAGTAATATTTTGGAAAATAAGACACTTAAATGTTTTACATCAAACATTGTTTTAAAGGTTTTTATGAAGGTTAAAATTTTGAGCATGACGCATGAAGTTCTTATTCATGATTTACTTAAGACATATTCACAGATCTCTGGCACACGATATACACAGCCTACCAATATTATATGCAAACCAACAAAATGATAATAATTATGAAATTAAAGATGCTAGAGTTATCATGTGTCGATCAAATGCATGCTTCAAATTTTACGGAATTTACGATCGTATTAAAATATGAAATTTAATTTATTTTCATAAACATTTCACCCCAAGTAAGGCAATAAAGCCACTAAAACGCAAAGAGTTGCTGAGAAGAAAAAAAAAACATTATTAATGTGAGAGACCAATGAAAAAATAGAAATTAAGAAGACAGAAGATGGCGAAAAGCAAGATGCGGGAAGTGAGTTCAACTAGTGCGAAATCCGAGAGAAGAAATTGTTAGTATAGATTTTACAACTATATCTATCCTGTTAAACTGTAAAATTTTTGTGACGTCAATGAACACTCGTTTGACACTTTTGTAATGTCAGCGAATACTCGTTGTCATTTTCGCAATGCTCGTTGTAGCAGAGACTTTGTAATCGCAGATACAACTATAGTACGCCGTTGAACAATGCTGGTGTCAGACGCCTTCGAATAACACCCGCACAAATAGTACTTACTCGATAATACTCGCTCGAATAGTAACCAACGCAGAGTGATCGGAATAGAGAAATAGTATCGTGAATAGAATTGAGAATATCGGTCTCTATAGTAATAGAGGATAGACTAGAAATAGGGATCAACTAGACACGCGTTACTTCCTACTCATGCGTTTCTTCTATATTCACGTGATCTACTTAATTCAATAATGGGATCGCCTGTGTTTGCTCACTGGTGATCTATGTTCAAACTTAATTGTCGGAGCCGACACTTTATTCCTATATACCAAAAATGATGAGACTTATCTGCCAATCTAGTACTGCGCTTAAGTTTCTAAAGTCACGGTACCATAGGGGAAAGTTCATCAGATCAATTACCATGTAATTATTTCTAGAAAAACTTACAGGGATGCTACGTTACGGTGATCGGAAATACACTGAAACCGAGATGACAGGCCAGGACCGAAAACATTGCAGATTCTTCTTTAGATTTTATCAAGAATTTTTGTTTGAATGCCAGTGTCTTTTTCTTGGGTCATGTCTCAAGGTTGATCCTTAGGAATTCAACTTACGCGGGGGAGTTAGGCATCAGCAACTCTCCAACTCATTGGCACTAACCCCTATCCAAAATATAACTGCCCCGTCTTCTTGCTTATGCTTCAATTGATGAATTCTAGGGTTGCTTTTGTGATGTCAACGAGCACTCGTCACTTTCGTAATGTAAACGAGTACTCGTTGTCACTTTTGTAATGCTCGCTGTAGTAGAGACTTTGTAATCGCAGATACAACTATAGTAACGCCGTTGAACAATGCTGGTGTCAGACGCCTTCGAATAACAGTCGCACTAATAGTAATTACTCGATAATACTCGCTCGAAAAGTAACCACCGAATATTGGTCCGAATAGAACCCGTATAGTGATCAATAAAGAGAAACAGTATAGTGAATAGTTTAGAGAATAGCGATCTGTATAGTAATAGACGATAGTGTAGAAATAGTGATCCAAATAGTAATCCGTATAGTAATAGAATATAGAATAGAAATGGTGATCTATTAGACACTACGCTGATTCCCATATATTCATTTCCTTTACTATCCCGTGATCTACTTATTTTAATAATGGGATCGCCTGTGTTTGCTCACTGGCGATCTCTGTTCAAACTGCAGTGTTGGCAGTGGCAATTTATTCCTATATACAGTTGCCTTTCAGGAACATCATTTTTTGCCAGTCGCCGTGTCACTCCAGGTCGCACTGTAATCGTCGGTAAATATGGCGCTTTTTTAAAATCGAATTCACGGCAAGCGAGGCAGTAAAGCCACTAAAACACAAGAGGTTATTGTGTATGAAAGAATTAGAAAACAGAAAACATTATGGAGGAACGAGAACAATAAAAGAGTAATCAGGAAGACAGTAGATAACGGTTGACATTGCATCTAAATTTTTGAAAATCAAAGTTGACAGGAAAGCATCGAGCCGAAGAATTCGACAAGTGATAAGTTCGAGAAAAGAAACTGTTAGCTTAGAACTTACGGTTACATTTAAGCAATTCTATTGATGTTTTTAAAATAAATGGTAACGATAATATTAACCGTTTCCCGACAAGGAAATATTGATATTCATTGATCGAGTAGCCATTACTATTTCCGTTGGAAATTTATAAATTCTTTCCTCTTAAAACAATTTTTCAAGAAAATAGAGTTTTCAATTTCACGAGCATCATTGCAACAATGGTCGCTTTCTCATCTTTGGTCGAAAAGAATTTATTGTCCATGTTGCATAGAATTTGGAAAGGCGGAAAGAAGCGATATATGCAAAAATTGCTGCTAATTTGTCTATCACTGGGCAGATCCATTTGACATTGAAACCCCTGCGAATGCCAGCACCGCCAATCTTTTATTAAAAATGCGTGACAATACATTCAGGTCAAATAGAGGATAATTTAGGGAATGCGATTTGCATGTAATTTTGGAAGTAATATATATATAATATATATATATATATATATATATATATATATATATATTATTAACAAATCGGAGACTTCAGAAAGTCGTGATAATATTCTATATTTCGCGAGACCGATGAAATTCGATTTCACTTCGTCATACGGTTTCAAAAAAAGTATATAGATATATATATAATTTTCAAAATGTATGTGTATGTGTGTGTGTGATCGGATGTTTATGCATTTCCACAGTTTTCATCCGATTTTGATGAATTTTTTTGCTTGATTGATAATAATTCTTCAGTGGCGGTTTTGAGTCCAAATTCTTGGCGACAATCGCTCTCCACTACTTCCTGTCCATTATAACTCTCAGCATCGTTTTACTATATACTATCTGGTCTTGGATATATATATTTCGTAAAAACTTTAATAAAAATAGTTTAAATTATTAAAATAATATTATTTATTATTATACAGTTCCCTATTCAGGGTCACCCTCCATTCAAATTGTTAAACCCCTATTTTGGGGATATGTCTCATTTGCATCCAAATGTTGTTACTAATACGGATTTTCGGGTGGGCTGACTTTAAACTTAAACTGCTCCAATTGGACGGCAAACATTCCCAGCAATGAAAGACCCGGTCAAAGACGGGTTATATTGCTAGTATAAAATATTATGAATAAAGACAAAAGGAAATCTTTAGCAACTTATTTTTCCTCTGATGGACTTTATGAAGGCAAAATGTAAGAATTTCTAAGTTAGTCAGCGGAATACTAATAAGCGTTCGTAATTTTTTTTTAAATTTAAAAAATTAACGACACTTTTACTTATGTTTATAAATATTACTTGATAAAGTCCATCAGAGAGCGAAACGCGTCAGTAAAGAACAGTTTTCATATATATATATATATATATATATATATATATATATATATATATATATATATATCATACAATTGAAATTAAGATACCATTAGTGACTGATCATTTTCACCAGTTAATTTTAAATTTAAAATTCACAAAATTTTTCAAACTGTCAATAGTAGTGGGGAAAGAAAGAAATAATAAAAAGAAGAAAAAAAAACTTGGGAGGTAGTAAGGAAAACATGAAGTAGTGTAATGTTAATGATGGTCATAGAGGGAAAAAATGAGAGGGACGACAGAATCTATATATAATTAAAAATATTAAAAAAAAAATATGATTCCATCGCTACATAAGAGTTCTCATGTTTCAAAAACAGAAACTAAAAACTTCAATTTTATTTATAGAAATTAAATTAAATTAAAGCGGCTAGTTTTGGTTCATCCTCAAGTGAATTTTGGAATAACCAATTTTGAAATTTACAGAGCTTTATTAGCATATACATCCGTAATATTAATTTCTATGTATGATATGGAGAAAACTAATCATTTTAATAAGGGGCGGTAGGGTATTCATTTTCACTGAAAACTATTGTATCAACATATTAGTTACTTTAGAAAAGAGGTTAAGTCAAGGTAGGGTTATCAAACAAATGATGACATCCGTTCAACGCATATCGTTTGGTCTATTTCAATGACAGAAATTTTTTGGCACTGTTGTTACGTTGTTAAGTGTATATTTGTATATATGAAATTTTTTTCTAAGAGGATTGTTTGTATATGAATATGTCGTATTGAACTACAAATTGTTTTTGTTGACGACTTCTTAAAAGTTTTTTAGCTTATGACTGGGTTAAATTTTTAAACCTATTGCTTTAATTGTTTATAGACTTTGGAATTTAAAAAAAAATTAAGCTAATTATTAAAGGCGAATGTCTCTTGGTGTCGGCAAAAAACCGTTATCTCATGTCTTTGATTTAATAAATTTTCGTTTTTTAGAAACTTAATGTGTAGGGCATGGGTCATCTCAGGTTTTACAAGGTCTTGTTCTATTTATTATTTTCCATTTTACGTTTGGTGTTTTATTCGTTTGTTTTAAATGCCAAAAATATTTAGATAGGGATGTCTGATTTCTATTTCTAATATTATTGAAGGAGCTTTTGTGTTGTCTGCACCTTATTTTAAATTCATTCTTCGTAGATCCTATATATTTCTTTTCAATGCTTGGATTCTCGATGGATGAGATTGTGCATTTGTATACCACAAATTCTATGCGGCATTTATTATCCAACGGGCAATCTTCAGGGTTTCTACAATCACATAATTTTTCATTATTTTTGTCTAATTTTAATTTAGGGTTGTTATTTATTTGATTTTGTCATGTGTGTTTTATATATTGAATTACCCATATCAGACATACTACCACCTCCAAAAATAGACACCTCACG